TGAGGCGCGCCGTGCCCGGGCGCCTCCATGTTCTGCTGGAGCAGCCACATCCCTCCCGTGGGCCGCATCCCTGCCGGGCTCTTGCAGCAGAATTTCCCCCCGTGGTGCTGGCAGGAGCCGTCTGGGCCTCCTGCTCCCGCTGCGCCGTGCAGTGCGGGATCTGTGTGCGTCCCCAGCAGGGCCCCCCGCAGGGTCCCGGCTTGCGAGATGCCCTGGCCGCTGCCTGTGCCTTGCAGAGCACCTTGGTGGCCAGAACCCCGGGACTTGTTCCCTGTGGGGAGAGGATGGCCCAGGGGAATGAGATGTGAGCGGGAGACCTGGGTCCCAGCCCTGGAGCAGCTTCCTCCTGCCTCTGTTTCTCTGTGCTGCGTGCAAGGTGACTGTGGAGGCACAACTGGGACCAGGGACCCGGGCAAAACTTCTGCCAGGTGACCTTGGCCGTGTCTCCTGGCCTGGCCCTGCTGTGGCCCTAGGAGGGCCTGTGGTTGGGGGTGTAGCCTCCTTCTCTGTCTCCCCAGTGTCAGCTCCAGTCCTGCTTTTCAAGTGGTTTGTGCTGCTGGTTAGGTGTACTGCTGCAAAAGGGAGCCTGTGCTTTGGTGTGTGGGCTGTGGTGGTGGGATCAGGCCAGCGTGTGCACCTCTAAGTAGCTGAGGAGGAAGCTGTGCTGGTGGGAAAGAGCACGTGTTGGCTTCTCCTCCCACCCCGGCATTCGCTCGGTGCCCAGCACTCTTTCATGTGTTGTTCAAGGGCTCCTCTCACCTGCCACAACAGCTGAAGTTCACAACCTCGGACTCCTGTGACCGCATCAAAGATGAGTTCCAGCTCCTGCAGGCCCAGTATCACAGGTGGGTGCTCCTGCATGTCACAGGCCCCAAGGTCCTCCACACTTTTGTCATCTGACAGAGAATGCTGAAAATGGTTCTCCTTAGAGGTGCCCATGGGTGTCCCTGCCCTGGCAGTGCTGTCCTGAGAGCTCTTGGTGGGTTACGCCTGGCAGGACCTTGCTGGCCTGTGGCAGAGCTTCCTTCTCTGGCCTTTTGGTGGGGCTTCTTCCACAAGAGAAGAGGATCTTGCAGTGCCCATCCTGGGCTCCTCAGGAACAATTGCACCGAGTGCGCAGCAGCCCCATAGCTGGGCTGACAAGAGGTGATAAGACATAGAAGAATCGCTTTGATTCTTCTGCTCCGTTGCCTTGCTGTGTGGATCGAACTGGAATACTGAGGGAGAGACCTGTTTGTGCAGCTTGGGTCGTGTTTGGTTAAAGCAGGTCCTCAGGGAAGGGATTAAGCATGTCTGCTTAGGAGCCTAGAAAGGAGAACATTCAATCTTCCTTCTCTAGCCAAGGACTCTCCTCTGTGTGGTGCTCAGCCAGGACCGCACGGAGACTTGCCAGGCCTCCTGTGTCTTACTGGGAATTTCTCCTCGGTTCTTCTTGCTGGCTGCCATTCTTGGACCGCAAATGCTGCGTGGAGCACTTAAATCCAAACGCTTCCGCTTTTGTGCATGTCAGAGTGGAACTACTTCTGCTGACCTGCAAGTTGCCTTGTGATGGTTGTTACTTTTTGTGTGTGTGTTTCTTGAATAAACACAAAACCCCAAGCTTCAGTCAACTCAGTGATGTCCTCTGCCATGGTCCAGCAGGCTGCTGGACCTGACTGTGGCTTGTGCCTTTGTGGCTGCACTGCTGTGGCAGTTTGCAAGCCCTGCTGTGACTTCCTTGTGTACCATTCACCTTGGCCTGGGCTCTGCTGGCCTTTTGGGTCATGGGTGGGCAGTGGAGCCGCTCCGGCGGGAGGCAGCCCAAGTAGCAGCTTGGAAATGGCTATTTCCTGGCACCCCTCCAGCTCAGAGCGGTGCCGGGGATGGAGCAGGGGACACCAAGGAATACGTGCGGCTTCCCCCCACCACCACACTTGGATCTAATCTGCCAGAAGAGAAACAGGTTTTGTGTAGGTGAAGCTGTTTCTTGTTTGAAACATAAAACCGCAGCACATGCTGGCCGCAGTTGCTTGGCTGGTGAGCTGGAGTTTCATAAAACATGGGGAGCAGCAGCATTTTCTCTTAAGGGTGTAAAGAACCTAGCAGAGAGAAAATCCTTTCTTCTGGTGAGATATGCCGCGCCTGGGCCTCCCCTCATCATCTGGAAGAGGATGTGGCTTTATTTTGTAAGTTGTATAAAGCACTTCTGGAGCCCGCAGGCAGGCCTGTGCTGGCTCTCCTGTCCTGCCAGTGATCAACTGAGGAAAGCCAAGCCCTTCTTGAGCTGCCACTACTGCTTCTGTCCAGTCTCTCTGTTCCCTAGCAAAGGATTGCTGTGGCCAGAGCTGGCCAGCAGGCACCTTGGTGTCTGAATGGTGCTGCCAACTTCTCTTTAACCATCATCTTCTGTTTTGGCAGGACTCTGAGAATGGGCTCTATTGAAATAGCTGATAGCACAGATACTACAGATAGCACAAATACAGCGTGGCCAAAGCTCAGACCTACCGTTTAGTGCTTCAGTGGTGGCATCCGAGATGCCAGACTGCCCGGGTCGAGGCCGCTAGGTGCTACACAGAAAAAATGGCAAGCAGCTGCTCCCTGCTCTGTGGTGATCGACCTTCTTACCTCCTGTTTGCATTTCTTGCTGTTTTCTGGCTTTCAGCTTGAAGTTGGAATGTGACAAACTAGCCAGTGAGAAATCGGAGATGCAGCGCCACTACGTCATGGTAAGAACCTGCCCCGGCAGCCAAAAGTGCGTGGGTGGTATGGGCACGGACCAAACAGCAGAGCAGGTGCTCGTGCCTGGATTTCATGCGGCACGGAGTTTTTGTCCCATGGAATAGCAGGTCTGCAGGCATGGCTGCTGCTGGGTTTTCTGTAAGATGGGTTATTCAGGCATTTTGTGTTTCCTGCAATGTAATGGATTGTTGAGGTGCAGGGAACTGGCAGAGTTGTTGGATGTAGGGAACTGATGGGCCCAGGTACTGTTTGATAGATAGTGATGGGAGTCTGGCCCTGCAGTCCTGTGTTCCTGTGCAGCTGAAACTGAAGGAAGGACTCATTCTTTGCCCCTGTATTGATTGGGAAAGCCTGAGAGCTGGTACAGAACAGTACAGCCAAGTGTGGAGCATGTGCCCTGAGACCAGGAGCAGTGAGAGGTGCTTGAGGGTGCAAAAGGTCTAGCAGGGTTGGCAGAACTGCTGTGGGATAGCGCTGAGCTGACTGGTGATGGGGCACGAAGAACCGAGTTTCCCTGCAAGAGGAGCTGCAGGGCAGAGCAGCCGGTGACCTGGTGCTGGAGCTTGTCACAGGACCGACCCCAGCAGACAGTGGGGACAGTCAGTGTGTAGGGCCCTATGGAGCAGAGCAGGGTTGTCGGGGTGCTTGCTCCGAGCTGTGCACCCGCTCCAATAACCTGCTGCCTGGCAAGTGCCCTTGTTCTGCAAGCTGCTGGCTGCACAACCTGGTGCTCTGTGCCTTGGGGAAGGTGACAGCTCTTACGTGCCTGAGAGAGAGCTGTGAGGTGCCAATGCAGTGATGTCTGGAGAGTCCGGGAGATGCCCTGCTAGGGTCATCTGGGAGGAGAAAGCCATGACCAGGGATGAATAAAGCTGTGCTTTGAGAGCTTGTGAAGCTGGGGAACCACGTAAGCCTGGTAGGAGTTGGAAGCAGGAATCATCTGTGCAAAAGTTCAGGCCTTCTGCACCTTCTCTTGACCCAGCAGCCGTGCAGAGTCACCATATGAAGTGCTGGCATCTTGCTTATGTGTGCCCCAGCACAAAGAAGTGCCCAAAGTCCGGAGCAGCCCCTGGGAATGGCATGAGAAGTGCTGCAACATGAAAGCTGCAGACCTAATAGGAGCTCTGTAAAGAAAGAAATCCTCTAGGAACAATTTGGCATATTCTTGTATGTAGCATAACGGTTTAGCTTCCAGGCAGTGCTTCTTTCATTCCACCTATGGAAAAGCCACGAGCAGCACAGGTGGAGGTTGCAGGGCAGGCTCTGGTCTGTTGCTTCCCTATCGAGTTAACTGGAGTTCGTGATGTGCTGGTGCCAGCCTGCCAGCTGCTGCACCTGCCCTGGGAGGAAGAGAGAAGATGTAGGAGAGGGTACAGCAGCTCTTCAGAGAAGAGTTAGGAGAGTTATGGATTTAAAATGAGCAATGGCAGAACTGCCCCTACTTTCTCCTGTCTGTACCCTTGTGCTGTGTGTGTGTCCATGCTCCTAGGCTGCAGTGAGCAGGGCATGCCCGGGGTGGCAGCCGGGGAGAACAGGTCGCTGGATCCTCGTGTAGGAGCGGCGAAGCCAGGCTTTTAATTCCATCCCGGTTCTCTCTGCTAAGTGATCTCTTCCTGAGCCCTGCAGCCTGCGTGGGGACTCATTTCCAAGTGTGACTGCATGAGATCCCTCCCCTAGCCTCCTTTGGTGCTGAGAGTCGCCAGAGTTGATGTAGGTTACTGTCAGCGGAGCTGGGAAGGAGGGCTCTTGCTAATCATGCAGGACTCCAGGCTTCTGCTGCCCTTCCAGCCTGGAAGCACCAGCAGCTCCTGCCCTGGAGGCATCAGCTGCATCGCTCCAAGCTGGATTCGCAAGGGCTGCTGTCACTCTCCACCAGCAGCAAGTCGCAGGAAGTGAAGAGGAGGGTTTCTGTGAATGTTCGGAGCTGTTGCAGCTGCTCTGATTTTGAATAAGTAACAATTAGCAGCTCAGGGGTCAAGTTCCCACTTCCTGCTCCGGTCTTCAGCATGCAAAGAAACCTTGAGAACCAGCAGTGCTGTTTAAATCAGAGTGAAATAATGGCAATACCAAGCTGGGCGCTCCTCCGACTTGTGCAGTCAGTACCAAACCCCCAGGGGCACAATCTTCTTTTCTTTGAGTTAAATGAGTGCAGACATGGATTTTCTTTTCCTTTGGAAGAATTGGGACTACAGCTGGCAAGCTGGGGGAGATTCCTAAACTCTCAAACATCAACCTTTAAACATCTTCTTTAGGAGGTCAGGAATTAGTTTCTCCTGCCAATACATTGCTCCAGAGCTGCCTTTTGCTGTGTTTTTCTTGGTGTGTGGGTGTTTTTTAACACAGCTTCTTCCCGAACAGCTGGAGCTGCATGCAGCTGGATGTGTTGCTTGTGAGAATGAGTCCAGTTGTGATCTCTCCCATTTGCTGCAGAACCAGACACGTGGGCTTTGGGATATCAACCGGGCAAAGTTTGTGGAGTCAAGATGCTTCTCTTTTGGCCTTGGACATAGTTAGAAGAAGTTCTGGGAGCCACAAAGCTTTTCTCAGATTTGAGATGCTGGTACTCGTCTTGATGCGGAGCACCCAAGGGTGTCTGTGCGAGGTGTCAGATGAGGCCCACTCAACAAGCTTTCTGATTTCCATCTGAAACAGTTCTAGGCCGGAGCTGGGTGGGCAGAGGGAGCCTGGATTTGGATACTTCTCCCCTGGACCTAGAGAAGATGTGTGTCTGGGTTTGCCTTGTGCTGTATTCGCTCCTCTGGGAGCAGGCTGCTTTTTTTTTTCCTCTCTATGCTTGCCCAGTTTTTGTAGAAAACTGCTAGAAAAGGGTTTGTAGTTGCCAACACTGGTGCATGGAGCTGTTTTATGTTATGGAGATTTGACTTGTACTTTTTTTAATTCTCTTCTCTCCTGCTCTGCAGTATTACGAGATGTCCTACGGGCTGAATATCGAAATGCACAAACAGGTAGGAGGGGCATTTCCAAGAGCTCTGCTCCCTGGGTGGGCAGCGTTGCCAGCTGCTCTGCGCTCTGTCACTTCAGTGGTGTTTCAGGGACTAGAAATGCTGCGTGCCTGTAAAATGTTGAAGCTGCTTTGGGTTTGCTAGCACCTGGGTAGTGGAGGAGGTTCGCTTTCTTGCTCTCATTTTTATTTTTATTTATTTATTTTCCCCAGACCTTTTTTTTTTTTAAAAAAAAAGCCTTTTCCTGTTGGGAAGAAAAGTAATTGCCCTGACAAAAGGCTTCTTTTGCAAAAACCCTCTGAAACTTGGGGATCCCCTCTCCTTGAGGAATCGTTTTGGCAGCCCTCTGTGCCACAGGTGCACGTGTGGGTCTTCCCTGACTCCGGAGCAGGTATTTAAGCCCTGGACAGGATTGTGCAGGGAGAGTGTGGAGCTGCTACCTCGGAATGCATTAACCAGGAGTCCAGAGCGGAATGCAGGAATGAGCAGCTTGTTGGGGCCTGGCAGGAACGAATGATAACTGTGCTGCCTTCATTAATGTCCAGGAAGGCTTTTCACGATGCCTGTAAGTGGGAAATGCCTTTGGCCACCCCGATGCTCTGCACTTGCCAATCAGACAGTACTTCTCTTCCACCAAGATCAGATAACTTGTTTGCAGAACTTCTAAGAAAGCCTCCCTATGAGGAGGCTATTGCAGCCTGGATAAGTTTGTTCATTACCTTTGCTAGTAGTTAGGTTGTTAGCAGTGCAGATAATTAGCCACTGTGGGTAATTAACAACCTGAGCCTCCTCAGAGTGTGACTCTATCTGACTTCAGCTTCCAGCCACAAAGTCGCCTGTACGTTTCTCACCTGGGTTATAAGCCCCTTAGCACACTTTGGCTCCCCACAACGGTGCTCGAAGCCTCTGATCCAGTCACCCTGTTAGATAAGCCACCGATACAGGGTTCCTTGGGAAAACTTGCCCACTAGCAAAAAGATTTGAGCCGTGAATGCTTCTCATTGCTCTCCCATGGACTCTCTCCCATCCTGTGCCGCTTCCCACTTGTGCCAGCTGGGGCCTCTTGTCCTTTTTGATGCATGCCTAAGTCCTGCAGGTCTGTATTTCTTCTAGTTCTGTTGAAAAGTGATTTGCAGAGGGCTGATAGCTTCATCTTTCCTAGGAGAAAAGCATTTCAAGCCCCACACATTTGCCACCTGCTTATGTGGGATTAGTAGAGAAGCTGCATCGTCTTTGTGGTCCCTTGAATGGTGACTGTCCTGCCAGCTCAGCTGCAGGGCGGTTGGCAGTGGGCGAATGCCCTGGATTTGGGGAGGGGAGCGGAGGAGGAGAGTCCAAGGAGGCTCCGGGCAGCCGCTGTCTCCGAGGGAAGAGCCAGGGCGTCAGCAGCAGCACAAGCCTCTGTCTGTGTCCGCGTGCTGAACATAATTCAACACATCCCCACCTGGGTCTATAATAATTCTTTTTTTCTCTGGTTGCCCCTGACTTCATTAAATGAATATTGGAAACCCTGAGAGGGAAGAGAATATTGAAAACTGGCTCTGTGCAATCAGCAACATTGATTTATTTAACCATTTGGGGAGGGGCCTTAGGGGAGAAACCCCCCTCGCCTCCCCCTCAGAGCACACAAGGATGCTGCCAGGATTTTCCAGCTACTTGTGAATTTTATTAGGCCACGTGGAGCTTGGGGCCCTGCCTTGGGGAGGAGGGAAGCTGGGGTAGTGAGTGCTCAGGGTGGCCAGTGCAGCACTAACCGGGCTCATCTAATGCCTTTGCTTTCTGGTTTTTGTTTGTTTGTTGTTGTGGTTGTTATTTTCCCCTGTGTTCCAGGCTGAAATTGTGAAGAGGTTAAATGGCATTTGTGCTCAGGTCCTGCCCTACCTTTCACAAGAGGTAACTCCCTTTGGTTGAATCGGGTTTTTTTGTTTTGTTGGTGACAAAAGGATGGAGGCTCCTGTCCCCTCTCTGAATCCAGGTCATTTGGGCATCCAGTTTGGGCAGTGCAGTGTAACATGGATGGGCTCTTCCTGAGCAGCTCCTCACCCAGGGCACAGGAGTCTGGAAAGCCTCGTGCTGCTCCAAGCTGCCTGGGGAGCAGCCCTTCAAGAGGAGTCTGGTTTGGACCCCCCAGAGCAGCCGCTCCCAGACCCTTGGGTTATGTCTGGTCCGTCCGTCCCCCTCTGTAGGGAACTGTGGACAAAGATGGGCTCTGTTCTCCGGCTGCTCCCGTGGTTCTCAAGTCATCGGCCACTTCTCTAAGGGGTGGCCGTGCTTCGGGGAGGGAATGTGTTTTAAAAAATACCTCCGTGTGGCTCCTCCTTGAGATCTGCTTCCTCCGCCTCATTAATTAATGCAGCTCGTGAGTCCTCGCGCTCCTCAGAGATTAATTTGGAGAGCTCGAGGGAGGGCAGGGAGATGCCGGCAGGGTGAGGAAGCGCCTCTCGTGCAGCCTCGTCCGTCTCCCGGTGCCGCCTCCCGGGAAGCAGCAGCCCCAGCCCTCTCCTCGTGGCTGTTCCTCGGGCAGGATCCGTGGTGCTGCGAAGGCTGCGTCTCCGGTAGCGGCAGGGCCGGGGGACAGGCTCTGCTTCTCCCACACACCGCCTAAAGGGAAGACAAAGTAGCTTGCTGATCAGATCAGAGCAGCTAATAACTAAGCCACAACTAAGCCCTTTGCATCTTAATGCAACCCCTTCCCCCTCCCCAGCCCCATCCTGCTGCCAAGAGGGAAAGAAAAACCCACTTGCTGGAGTGAATTGGGCAGAGCTGGTGTTTGGAGGCTTAGTGCTATCAGGGGAGCAAACACCGTCATCCTCTGTTCCTTAAAATACGTGATGCAGCTGTTTTTCCTGCCTGTGTTTGGAGCAGCTGTGTTGGACTGCTCCACAGGACCATCTTCCAGCTGCTCCAAATCAGGACCCAGGACATGTCTGAAAGACTGGGGAGCTTCTCAGAAGTGTTTAATTCTAGGGTTTTTTGGTTTTCTTTTTGCTTTTCTGTTTTTTTCTGGGGGAGGGGGGTAAGGTGGGATTATTGGGAGAGAAGAGGTCTCATATTTGAGGCCTTTAAAGCCTTTCTAGACCTTTGTAGGTGCCAGCAAGTACAGAACAGGGAAATAAGAGCAGACATTACTTAACCCTTTGGGCAAAGAACTGTAATTAGACTTTTGTCTCCTTCCCTGCCTTGGTCTGCTCCTCACTGCACACATTGAAATGACCAAGACTGTTTTCTCCACCCCAGCATCAGCAGCAAGTCCTGGGAGCCATTGAACGAGCCAAGCAGGTGACAGCGCCGGAGCTGAACTCCATCATCCGTGTACGTGATGCATGTTTCGTTTGGGTTGGGAGGGAGAGGCCTCGCTGCCTGCGGCAGGAGCGGCCAAGGCAGCTCTTGGGGCTCTTCCTTGCGCCCTGCCTGTGGTGCTGGCCAGGACCCTGGCGAGTTTGAGCTTGGCCACTGGCACCGTGCGCCCGTCGGGGCAGCCTGAGCCTTGGGTTGAGGTGAGGGCGGACGAGGTCCGAGTGCAGTGAAAATGACAACGTCCTCCTCCTGTCCTCCCGTCTGTCCATCGTTCTCTACAGCAGCAGCTTCAAGCTCACCAGCTCTCGCAGCTCCAAGCCCTCGCTCTGCCGCTGACTCCGCTCCCCGTGGGCCTGCAGCCGCCATCGCTCCCTGCCGTCAGCGCCGGCACGGGGCTCCTCTCGCTGTCGGCGCTGGGCTCCCAAGCTCACCTCTCCAAGGAGGACAAGAACGGCCACGACGGGGAC